CTACAATGGAGACTGTAGGTAGTTGGCTTAGCAAGAGTTAGATACGCGACTGTATGTAGGCTTATCTTGTGCAGTGTTCTTTAGGGTGTTTGGTTTGTCATTCTTGTTTCTAGGACTATTATGTAATGTGCTTTTTGGTGGTTTGTGTTTGCATGTTTGGAACCCTAAACCCTAAACCGTTTGCAGTTTGGGACCGAGGAGCTTGGAGCTCCCAGGAGCCCCCCCAGAGGCTCCAAGAGTCCTCGAAAAAGGTTCTGATCTTATCGGTTCCGGTTTAGGGCTTCGGGTTTAGGNNTTTGGGGTTTAGGGTGTAGTGTTTAGGGTTTTGAGGAATCCGACCCCTTTCTTTGGGTCCTTGGTGCTTGGGAAGTTTGGGATACGCGTAGGAGGCTATCCTACGAATTTAGAGGTCGATAGGGCTTCCGTATTTCGGAGGCTCCCATCCCTAGAGCAGCCATGGTATATACCCTGGAACATAGCTTACCTGCTTCGGGTGTGATACCACAGGCCTTGCTTGAAGACATCTCGGCCACCCTTGAATCGGGTGTTTCGGGTTGAAGTGGTTGCGATTTCTTTGGGTTTGCAAATAAGCCCGAAACCCTAAACCCTAAACCCCTAAACCCTAAACCCTAAACCCAAAATAGAACCACTTACAGTGGCAGCCGCGCAGTAGCAGACAACCCCAGTTGTAGTGTCGGTTCTTACCTGTCGCAAGATTATGTTGCTACTGTTAATGGACAAAATTCTGCATGACCCAAATACAGTATAGTACCATAAATCCCATAGTTTAGGTATATAAGGTCATGCTGGATTTTGTCCAGCAGCCGTATGAAGATCTGTTGACAGGTTGCCGGAGTACGCAGACTACTAGTGCCACTATATGAGCAGAATTGAAGAACGGTAGGGTGGTATTATCTTTGTGTAGTGTTCGCTCCATTTTCATGGGCCCTCAACTGTAACTCTACATAACTCCTGAACCGTACCCCCAATCCTAAACCCTGAACGACAGCTAACCCTAAACCCTGAACCCTAAACCCTAAACCCCCAATCCCTTACACTGAAATCCCTGAGCCCCAAGCCCCTAACCTCTATACCCCAAAGCCCTAAACCTTGAAGTCAAAAGCCCGAAACCCTAAACCCTAAACTCTCTAGCTTTACCTGTAGGTCCCTTAGTAGTTCCTTTTTGGGATTACCTAATAGGATCCTAAATAGAAGCCACAAGAAGGAACTACTATAGGGCCTATAGGCAGGGCTGTCCAGCTAAAGACTTGGCGGAGTTGAGGGTCGAAGCTTGGGTTTGGGGGTTAAGTGCGTCTTGTGATTCCCCAACCCTCCAGGTACCTACTAAATAGGGATTAGGGGTTTAGGGTTTAGGGTTTAGGGTTTAGTTCCCTTTTTTTGGTTCTACAATGGAGACTACAGGTGTGATTGGGTTTAGGGATAAAGTGCGTCTTGTGATTTTCCAACCCTCCAGGTACCTACTAAATAGGGAAGTGGAGCCCCTTGGGCCCTATATAGTAGGTACCGGGGGAGTTAGGGATTGGGTTTAGGGATAAAGTTCGAGTTTAGGGATAAAAGATGGCGAAAGTTTGAGGGTGGCGCGTGAAAGGTTAGGGGTTGGACCGTTGGAGGGTTTTATGTGTCTGGGTTTTCGGTAGGATTTAGGCTTCTAGTCATCGGAGTCAAGATCACCCAGTTTGCACTTTCCATTTTGCCAGCATCCCTGCTGAAGAAGCCCTCCTATGCTCCAGCGTCCTGTCTGGAGCCTAGACACATGTGACAACCGTGTATGTACAGCGTTTCTGCCGGGGCAGGTGTAAGACATGGGCAACAGGTTTGAGTCTTTCAGTTCCGTCTGTGGAGATTGTGGATGTGAAACTAGAACTTTGGATTGAGCTGTAAGGTTTAGGGTTTAGGGTTTAGGGGTGTAGGGTTTAGCGGCTGTATGGTGCTTGGGATTTGGGCTACGGCTACGGAGATAGAGCATGCCAGGCTCTAGGTTTAGGTGTTGGTACCAAGCGATGCTCTGTCCCAAACAGTTCGCTCGAGTGTCTAGGGCAAAATGAGCCCAGACACAGGGGTCATCATCAGAACTTGCACAGAGAACCCTAAACCCTAAACCCCTAAACCCTAAAGCCATCCAACTCCTTCAAGCCCCAGCTACAGTCCTCGCCTCTTTGCAACCCACCCTCGACCTCTGGGAAACCCTGAACTCGAAACCGTGGAAGTTCTGTCCAGCTGATCTCTCATATGGAACAGTGTTTCGATTCCTTCGGCCAGCATGATTCTGAATTGTCGAGTTTCAGCGCAACTTGAGCGCCCCACGTCTGGTGATACTTTCAAGGGCCCTGAAGCTTTATAATGCTTTCTTCAAGTTGAAGGGTTTAGGGTTTAGGGGTGAAGTGTTTAGGGTTCTTGAATCCCAGAACGCATGGTCTGCAATTGGCATTACCACAAAGACAGGAATCATAATTTGCCAACATCTTAGGGCCACGCCTTGTAGCAGGTACTTTTAGCTTCTGTAGGCGGGGTCTAACTTTTGTTTAAGATGTTGAGACAACTTAGGGTTTAGATTTATTGCGTTGATTGTGAAGCTACTGTGCGCAACTTAACCCCTTTCGAGACTAGCTATTCAACCGTACAGGGTTTGCAGTTGCTGGGACCTTCATGTTCCACAACATACTTTCTTGTGCGTCTTCATATTTAGCACAAAGTTACCCGACATAGAACGAAGAATATGTTGGTTTAAGATCACACTTGTTATATCGCCGCGACCAAGAAAGTAGCCTACGCGAATTTCGCATGAAACGCTACACCCAACCCCCAAACCCTGAGCTTAAACCCTAAAGCCCTAACCCCCCCCCCCCTCCCCGCCCCCAAAACCCTAAACCCCTAAACCCTAAATCCGACCTAAACCCCTCAAAGCAAGTAGAAGAGTGGGCCAAGACTCATAAAAAGGCTATTATTCTACATACTTTGGGGGTCGGCAAGCCCTAAGCCTCCTAGCATAAGCCCTACTTGGAGGTTCATGGGTACTTACAAGTGGAGTTTTAAGTCCCATAATATAGGTTATAGCTAAAGTTACCCTACTTATAATCCTACTTATAACTACCCATGAACCTCCAAGTAAACCCTAAACCCCAAAGCCAAAACCCTAAACTCTAAACCCTAAACCCTAAACCCTAAACCCTAAACCCTAAACCCTACCCTAAACCCTAAACCCTCCTATCATAAGCCCTATAAGCCGTGACCAGGCCAGGGAGAGAAGCCTTGGGAGCAACTGCGAGCCGTGCTGCCCGACAGTGAGGTCCCCTGTTCGGTTTAGGGTTTAGGG